TGTTGGAGCGAGAAATGAAATGGCTATACACAAGATGTTTCTCTTAACAATAACGTTTACTGAGATTCGGATACAAGTCAAAAGTCTCATCTATTATGACGCAATCATATACCAATTTTTTTATGTTTCTACGTATATCTCTTTTAGGCACGGGGTGAATTATCTCGATGGGACAAAAGTAGCGGATAAAAAAAAAATCCCTACATCGAGGGTTCCTACGTGATCGTGAACTGGTTTAGTTTACCGACACCCAAGGTGTCGGTATCGATTTCAAAACAAAACGGTATCGACCGCTTACGAAAACTTCTCCACGCTCAAACGCCACTACGTTACAATATTTAAGAAGTCAACATATACTTTACATGTGCTATATACAAATATATTCACCACATTAAAACTTATTTCTCTGTTTTGATTTCTTTGATGAAATATGTAAGACATTGTTACCTGGTAAATTTTGCTCAATATTATTACTTTTAAGTCATTGTTTTGTCGTATAGCCAGTCACTCGATAATTTGAAGAGAGTTTTGTGAAGTTGGAAAATATATTTATATAAATTTGTTTATATGACATATAATTTCGAATCTTTGTGGAATTTCTTGTATAGAAAGATTTCGTTCACAATGAAATAATATGTCCAAGATATGTCAAAATTTATTAAGGGAACTAGAGAGGTTTGAAATTTCGAAAAAGTCGATTTCTGTTTTTTACATGTTTCGATATTATTCTTTCGATTTTTTAAGAATATTTTCTCGTTTATCTTTTTGAAAAATTCGCAAAATTAAAGCCAGGAGAGCATACGTTGTGTGATGTGCGGTAGTTATCTACAAAGGTTCTGTAAAATCCAAAATATCTCGCTTATTTTTTGACCGAGGATGGACTAGCAAACAGTAAAAACTAAAAAAATAAGGGCGGAAAATCCCTCGAATGTTCGAAAAATTAACAAAGTCTTGAACTAAATAAAAAGCAAAAGGAGTTCGCTCAATCTGTCTAGCGCTATATCGATTTCGCACTTTTCGCAAAACTGTCTGATCTCCGACTAACGACATCCCAGATAGCACAGAGATGAACAGAAATTCCTAGAGAATTCATTTTAAACAATAGATATAGAATTAGAAAAGTGAATACCCGAAGAATTTTTGAAAAATTAATAAGTTCGTCTTGAAATATTCCTTAATACTTCATCATAGCGAATACTTTGCGACTTAATTCCTGGAACACTTTGAGAATTCGTGAGGAATTAGGGCTAAGGCACAGAACGAGACGTAAGCGTCATAATCGTAGACGTAAAGTAAGAGAAAAACGTAAGGTTAATAGCCTTTCATGACTTACGTTTACGTTTTTCTCTGTCTTATTTTACGTTTACGACTACGACGCTTACGTCTCGTTCTCTGCCTTAGCCTTTACAAATGTTTTGTTTACAGCAACTACTTTTTGCGCCTATATTCAGTACATGCCAGTGAATGTATAATAATTGATTTACATATTTATATATAAATTGATTAATTTATTGTTATTCAAAGTTATTTATATTTTGTGGAATTAATTATATAGTTTTATATAATAGAGCAAAGAAAGGGAATTTGTGTTAAAATAGCTTTTCATGTATAAAACGTTCACTTATATCAATAATAAATAGATTTATGCGAAGTATATTTTATCCTTAAGTTTGTATTCATGTTTCTAAAATCCACATACAGTTCTAACTCAATCGCATTATTTGAAAGCCATTTATTCTTGGATTTTGAATTACATATTTGAAAGTGCGCTTTATTTAAATTTGAAACTTAGAACAGTATATAACCAGCGAAAAATGACTCGTTGATTGATGTCAAAATGCCATCAAATATACATTGAAATCGTCAAACCGACGTCAATTTGATATCATTTTGACGTCAATCAACGAATCATTTTTCACTAGGTATATAGATGTCACAAACATGAAGTCTTAAATAGCTCAGTGAAATCATCTTATATGGCATTAAAAGTGGACATTTATAGATACACACAAACACACCAGGCCAAAGTTTTCTGATCTTTCTTTTGTGTGGATGCAATAAAATTTATTAAATCCGAAGAAATCTTTTTGAGTTGAAGTAATTCGATATGAATACTCTAAGAAGTTCTGAGGAACTCCAATCATGGTGCATGTAACTTCCTATCATTCTTATAGTATTTTTCCACGAATTTCTAAGGAAGTACAATTCAGGAAAGGAGAAAACTTTAGGAATACTTAAAGAATTCATCATGCTATCTGGGATTCTGGCAATTCTTACGGTACTTAAATCGATTAATTCTTATAATTAAAGATTAGTTTGCTTGACTAATTGGCGTTCGCCGCTCGCGGACAAATCATACTTTGTTGTTCGCAGATTTCGCGAGACACTTTCTTCACTCTCTGTACTTTCGCGCATTTCATTTTTTTCGGATCGCTATCTTTGACAATCGTCGTGCTAACCTATTGAAGATTTGTCGGTTTCAACCGCAAAATGTCTTCGTCAGAAAGTGGAAAAAAACCGTATGTCCGTCCAAGACGACCGTAGAAGAGACATTTCCAAAGCAATAAAAAAGTAAACAAAAATAATGAGAAATTAGACGATAATCCGGGACCGTCCTCTGCGTCAAAGAGAAAATTAAGTTCAACTGATACAAACGCGTTTGAAAATCAGGACATTGCGTATAAAATCATAAACTTTGTAACTGTTTTTAGTATTAGGTGGTAAACTTAGTTCCTGCGGCTCACCGTTAGATGACGTTAGTTGTAGGTGTAATTTATTTTGACATCTGAAACTGGCTGCATTTTAGAGGTTAGACATTTGTCAATAAAATTCAGTGCGAAGAGATTCATTTAAGCGAGCAGTG